AAGCACTTCATGGTAAGGACACACAAAGGATACCTATAAAAATAAGTCCAGGAGAGCAGGAGTACTTTGGATGCCTTCAAAGCAAGGAAGGTGAAAAAAGTTCCAGGAAGAAGAAGAGTGACATCAACTGACTCTTAAATATAAAAATCAAGAACCAAAGGTAAAGAAAATTTCGTTCTTTAAGATAGGCTTTATCCACAATAACTATGTAGTAGTCCACAATAAGTACAAACTTTGTAAGCTACTCTTGATTAGAAATTCTAATCATTTCTTTCAAAAATATATTTTGAGCTCCAAATATATTAATCCAAATCAAAAGTATGGAATGTACTTCAGTCTTAAATATTAGACTCCCTGTATTCATTTGTAAACATTTACTAAGTAGCTAGTGCTAATGTGATTGGCAACAACTTACTGACAGCTTACTATGTATCAGGCAGTATGTTAAGTACTTAAGAGTCATCCCATTTATACCTAACAATCTTATAAAGCAAGTACTATCTTCACTTTATAGGTGAGGAAAGTCTTTAAAAAGTTACATAAAGAAGTTACACAACTAATAAATGGTGAAATTAAGATATATTAAGTGCCAGTTCTATTATTATTAGTGGCTGCAAATCAGAATATTTTGTTCCATTCCATTATTTCTCAGTGCTTCTCTCAGAAACTAAATTGTGGGGGCGCCTGGGTGGCTCAGTGGGTTAAAGCCTCTGCTTTCGGCTCAGGTCTTGATCCCGGGGTCCTGGGATCGAGCCCCCACATCGGGCTCTCTGCTGAACGGGGAGCCTGCTTCCCTTCCTCTCTCTGCCTGCCTCTCTGCCTGCTTGTGATCTCTGCCTGTCAAATAAATAAATAAAATCTTTAAAAAAGAAAAAGAGGGGCACCTGGGTGGCTTTGTGGGTTAAAGCCTCTGCCTTCAGCTCAGGTCATGATCCCAGGGTCCTGGGATCAGGTTCTCTGCTCAGCAGGGAGCCTGCTTCCCTTCCTCTCTCTGCCTGCCTCTCTGCCTACTTGTGATCTCTGTCTGTCAAATAAATAAATAAATAAAATCTTTTAAAAAAAAGGGGGGGGTGCCTGAGTGGCTCAGTGGGTTAAAGCCTCTGCCTTCGGCTCAGGTCATGATCCCGGGGTCCTGGGATCGAGCCCCACATCGGGCTCTCTGCTGAACGGGGAGCCTGCTTCCTTCTCTCTCTCTGCCTGCCTCTCGGCCTACTTGTGATCTCTGTCAAATAAATAAATAAAATCTTTAAAAAAAAAAAAGAAAGAAAGAAACTAAATTGTGCATATCTTTTTAAATGGAATTAATTAATCTACTTCTAAATCTGCATAACACTATTATACTGAATAAGTTTATTGAAAGGAAAAATCAGCCCCTTCTCAACTTTAAAGATAAGTTAGAGGCCAATTAAAGGAAGTTATATTTGGGGCACCTGGGTGGCTCTGTTGGTTAAAAACATCTGCCTTGGCTCGGGTCATGGTCTCAGGGTCCTGGGATGGAGCCCCGAATAAGGGTTTCCTGCTTAGTGGGGAACCTGCTTCCCCTCTCTCCCTCCGCCACTCCATCTGCTTGTGTCCACTCTGTCAAATAAATAAATCAAGTCTTAAAAAAAAAAAAAAAAGTAGTTGTGTTTAGAGGCACCTGGCTGGTTTAGTCGGTAGAGTATGCAACTCTTGATCTTGGGGTCATGAGTTCAAATCTCTCCTTCAGCCTATAGCTTACATAAAAAATAAAACAAACAAACAAAAAAGGGTAGCTGTGTTTAAATATCACTGAGTAAATATTAAAATACTTTAATCTAAAAATGGAATGTAATGGAATAAAATAATACAGGTTTATATCTTTTTCACTTACATCTTAGAATTTGAAATCTTAAAGAATATAAAAAAATAATCTAGCCATGAACAAATGTAGAAACCTAAAGGCAGACAAACATAACCTGGCACTCCCTTTAACAGAACGATTTCAATTTTATTCAAGATTCGACTACAGAAATAAGCTTTTCAGAAAAGACTCTTTCATATATGATCCTGACCTGAACAACAGCTAATACATACCAAAAATAAAGTATACTCTTTATGTTTAGATAACAGCATCCAGTCTTGGGGTGCCTCAGTTAGTTAACTGTCAGACTCTTGATCTCAGGCTCAGGTCTTTATCTCAGGGTCATTAGTTCAAGCCCCATGTTGGGCTCCATGTGGAGCCTACTTTTAAAGCAATTGATTAATTAATTAAAATGTTAAAAGAGCACCTAGTCTTTCTGGTCAACTTCTTTTCTATTAATGGAATTGCATCATAACATGGGACCAAATATGCATGTGCCTTGATATACAGAAAGCCCACTTAATATTAAAACATAATCAATTAATTGCCATATCCACAGTTCTTCCCAAATCTGTATTATAGAAAATACAATAATTATCTTCCATTCAGTTCACTCATATTTTTGGTCCTGTACACTGTTACATTTCTTTAAAACCTCTCATAGTTTAAGTATGTTTGAGAAACTATCCTTCAGTTTTGCAAGGAAGTTTAGTTACTGTCAAGATAATCTTAGGCTATTAAACCCAGTTGATTCTTAGGAATTCTTCCATTTATAAAACATGAGAATTATAACCAAATTAACACATCAGATATCAGAATGCCAAAAGTTAAGTCATTAAAAGGGAATCCAGAGAAAGAGTCAGTTGTGAAAGAACAGGAAGTGATGTACACTGCCATTTTGTAGTGAACTATTTAGAAACATAAGTACCAAACTAAACTGGAATCAACCAAACCCAAACTTAACAGCTCTCAGTATCCTAAGAGTGGCATCAAGGTCAGCTGAAATAACCCTCAGGCAGTTCTTCCCAAATAATGAATTTATCTAACTGATAAAGAACATATGTTACCACTTTTAGCACTCCTACAAGCTATGGAAAACAGGGTTTCTTCTTAGTTGTCCTTAAGAGTATCTCTTAGTTCTAGCATGCATTTTGAAATACAGCAAGTAGTTTACTTATATTCTCTATACATCCTTAAGCTCTGTAGCCTTTATTGACAAATCTCTGCATGCATCTTTCCCAAGACAAAAACAGGCACTCTTTGCTGAGCAGTATGCTTGGGTTTATACATACTAGTATATATGAATTATCAACAACAAACCATAACATAAAGAATTAGACTTTATGGCAGAATTTCCCATGTAAAGAGAAACTCTACACACCACAACATGCAGCTTTGTGCCACAAAATAAAAGATTCAAATAAGAAGTACTGTTTAAGTCAAAATGAATTCAGATAAAAATAAAAAGGGAATAAAGCAAGCAAGAAGAATTCTACTTTCTGAGGAAAAATAAACTGACTTAACATATTAGTGAAATATCAAAATCATCAAATGAGAGGACAGAAATTAATGCCTAACACTACTAAAACTAACATCTTTAAATCCCGGTCTTGAAACAGGTTTCATAAAATGCAACAAACACACGAAAAAAGCTCTGATGAACATTAAGTATACATGACATTCGGAAGTATTTTAAAATAAGTCACCCACTAAGCAAAGCTTAAACATCAAATACAACTTGTTAGTAAAATATCAAAACAGTCTGTATCTATACATATATTAGTCTTTGTTGCTTTGCAAAAAAAAAATAATAATAATAATCTTCGAACATTCATATATGAAACATTTTGAACTCACTTCATCAGTAAATCTAAATACTTAAAGAAGTATGAACAGACTTCAAAACTACTCTGATCACAAAAAGCACTTGGCAACACACTTGCAGAATGTTAAAATTTTTATTTTTATTTACTTCTACTCTACTAAGGACAAAACCAACAAGTACTACTGTAAAACAGTAAGATGATTTGTTTTAAACAAATTTGACACGAAGCAAAAGAAGTGAAAAAGTGATTTATTGACTACATAACACAGATCCTATCACAGCATAATTAGGCAAATTAGTGTCTGTTCCCTCATTTCCTTAGGAAAAAAAGCATTCCTACAGAAAGGTTTGTAACCTAATCATTTTCAGAAAATTCCAATTCTAATGTTATACAAAATGGTATGGACCCTAAAAATTCACAGCTCAGGGAGAAATGTCCATTAGACTGCCTGTCTGTATGCATTAATCTTTCATAATTCTTCAAGAACTAAAGTCACAGAAAGAAAAAGGGACAAGAAAGTGTACAAAATTATTTTATTTGAATCCTAGTAAAAACCCAACATCCTCCCCCCAAAAAAATGTCAATCTAGTGTTTAAAAGAGAGCGAGAGAGACATCAAAACTGTTCAAACATGGCAGGGTCCCTCCCGAGAGGCCGTATCTCCCAACAATAACAACAGGAACAGATACACTTCCCAGGGACAGATCTCAGGGGAAGACTATAAACCCGTACTGTTATCGATTTAAAACCAAAGGGAAAAGGGTAACCTTTCCAAGGGAAGCGCCATTACTTCCCTCTCCAGCTCCCCCTCCCTTCAGTGTATACATGGGCCTGTGTATGAACAAACTGCCTTGGACTTCTGCAGCATTGCAGTAGACTAAAGGATGGGGAAGGGGGGAAGGGTAGGGGGAGAGAAACGCTTCCATCACCCCTATACGAGTATAGATTTCCTTAGCCGGGGTGGAAGCCACTCAGCAGGCTACCCTTCCCAAGAATACAGACACTACAAAGGAGGAAAGGGAGGAGCAGAAGGATCAGAAGGGAAAGGGACCTCGCGCCTTTAAATCGGGGTGCACAGCAACCCAGTCTCCCCAAGAGAGCCACACCTTCCTAGAAACATCCCCTTCCACCACCCCTTCCGGTGACCCTCAGGAAAGAGGAATGTAATTGCTCTTGCCCCTCAAAACTGGAGGGCGCCTAGCTCACCAGCTTCTTCACCCCACCCACAGAATCACAGACCCTCCTTGTCTCCCTCCCTACCCCACCCCCACCTCCCTTCTCGGAGAGGCCAGAGTGGGCCGAATTTCCCCGCCCCCTCCATGTCTCCCTTTCCCAAAGCAGAGGTGCCCTTACCCTTTCGCCGACAGGTCTGGGGCGGAGTAGGCAGGGGCAGCCCCCTGCGGCGCTCGGGTAGCCGCTACGCTGGAGGACTAGGAGTGAGGAGAAGGAGGAGGGGGCCTGGCGACCGACCGCCGCCCCCCCCCCCAGCCCCAGCAAGCCGCCCAGCCCAAGCTCTGCGACAAGGGGCGGGGGGGGGAGGGGGCGAGGGGACGACCGGGGTCGAGGAGGCGCCCTCAGAGCTTGGGCTCAGCTAAGATGGCGCGGGGAAGTGCTGGGAGCCGCCGCCGCCGCCTCGGGGGAACCGACCCGGGCCTCGGCCGCCTTCCGTCCTCACACAGCCGAGGCCCTCTCGTCCCCCGCCACGGCCCCTTGGCGGGCGGGCCCACGCACAGTTCTCCGCCACCACCACCACCCCTGGGAAGGGGGCGCTCACAAAGGGAAGAGAGGCCGCGGGCCGGCCGGCCGGCGGCGGGGCGGGGTCCCCAGGGGCCGGGAGGCCTCAGAGGTTCGCGGGTGCCTCGCGCTCTCGGCCCTCGAAGGGCACAGGCAAGCGGGACCCCTCCTCTCTCCTCAGACAGGCGGCGGCACCGACTCACTATCTTTGCCACCCTCCCTCTCCCTCTCTCTCTCCGAGCCCTGAAGCCACAGAGCCCGGCCGCTGCCCAGGTTTCCCCCCCCTTCCCCAACACCACTCCCCTCCTCCCGACAGTCATCCCAGTCTCCGATCTCGCGAGATTTCCCGCCTGACAGGCCCGACCCTGCGCGAGACACGACTGCGTACGCGTGCGCGCTCTCACGGGAGCGCGCGAGTACTTGTACTGGGCGGAGTCTCCCGGTTCCCTGCCTGAGTCCCAGCCTCAGTCTAGCTTGGCCGCACTTGGCAGGTCTAACTCTTCTGCCACGTGGGCATCAGGTGCATTCAGTTCTCCCTGAAATCTGCGAAATAAGAGTTTATCAGCTCTCCTCTGTCCTCACTTCCAAAATATCCGCGCCCCCCCTCCCCATAATCCTGCGAATGAGAAGCTTGCCCTGGCATGTAGGATATCCAGTTCTTACCTTGGTTCAACTACTCCGTGGAATTCAGAGGGAAACTGGTCAGTGTCATCAGTACGTAGTTGAGTTTTTGAGATTCTAAAAGCTTGTAAGAACTTCTGGAACAGTAATGAGAGGAGAATACAGATTAAACCACCCCGCATGTTGGTAATGGTAGGAAAGAGACAAATTCTTGAGAAGTTTTAGTGTATGTCTTTAGTAGGTTGAGTGATGGTAAGTTTTGGAAACAGGAGCTGCAAATAAACTGAAGAGTCCTACGAATCCTAACGCAGGAAAGAGAGCTTCTAAATTTTTGTGGTGAAGACTTTTGTTTAGAGGAAAAAGAGCAGTTTTATTCAGGAACCAAAAGGTGTGCCTCAAGTGCAGTTACAAAAAAAAAAAAAAAAGTCTTGCTTCTTCAACTGGTAAGCAGTGAGATGAAGAGATCTGCTGTGTGAGACTTATGAGTAAAAGTGTACTCCAGAACAACTGGAAGTTACAGTAAACTAGGGAAGTAAACTGGCTATGATCAGTGAAACAAGATATCCACTTCAGTGGGTTATACATATAACTTGTTCCAAATATGCTTTCTCATAGTAAAAGGACTCTGTCAGTGAGTCCTCTTTTCACCTGTATTGCCAACTACTCTCAGCTGGCAACTTCCCCTCAGCATAAAAACATGCCCTAGTTTCTTTGGAGGGAAAAGAAGGATTACCATCTTCATCTCTCCTCCCCTTCAAAGACAAGCTTTTTAGAAAATTTGTCTTCTCACCTCCGCTGAAACTGATCTTACAATGGTCAAGAACAACCGTCTACTTTCTGTGCCTAGTGGGGTCATTTTAATCCTCCTTGACATCTGCAATATTTGATATCGTTTATACTCCTTCCGTCTTAAAACTGTGTTCCTCCTTGGCTTTTCAACACCACTCAAAACCACTTTTCCTTCTACCTCCTTGTCCTTGGAGCCTCTCTTCCTCCATTTATGCTTTAAATGATGCCTTTCCAATCCTGATCCTTTCTTCTGAAAGTTACAGCAAGAATGTTCTCTTCTAGGGGCGCCTGGGTGGCTCAGTGGGTTAAAGCCTCTGCCTTTGGCTCAGGTCATGATTCCAGGGTCCTGGGATAGAGCCCCGCATTGGACTCTCTGCTTGGCGGGGAGCCTGGTTCCTCCTCTCTCTCTCTCTGCCTGCCTCTCTGCCTACTTGTGATCTCTGTCTGTCAAATAAATTTTTTTAAAAATCTTTAAAAAAAAAAAGAATGTTCTCTTCTAGTTATTTCATACATTTAGGAATGGAAAGAGATTCAGGCTTTCCTATAATATTTATTCTTAATCTTCTATGGAAAATTTCAAACATACACAAAAGGAATGGGATCTAATAATAAACCCCCAGATGTCCATCACCTAGCTTCAACTATTATCAACATTTTATCATTCTTGTTTCACTTATTCTCCCACAACCTTCCCCACCCCTGTGTACTTTTTTTAAGATTTAATTGTTTGTGAAAGAAAGAAGAGAGAGTGACCACAGGGGTGTGGGGACTGGGCACGAGGGAGAGAATCTGGAGCAAACACCTCACTGAGAGTGGAGCTCCATGCAACACCCAATCCCACGACCCTGATACGGGGACCCCAGCCAAAATCAAGAGTCAGAAGCTTAACCGACTGAGCCAGCCAGGTGCCACCTGCCTCCACCTAAGTGTATTTTTAAGTAAATCTCTAGTAGGCCATCATAACATTTTACCCGAAATACCTTGGTTGTAACATAACCACAATACCATTATCACACCTTTACAATAATTTCCTAATATGTAATACCCAATCCATATTCAGTTTTGCCTAACGTTTCCAAAATGTCATTTTACAGTCTATTTGTCTGAACCAGGATCTGAAGTTCTACACTTTGCATTTGATTAATAGATATGTCTCTTAAATCACTTTTCATGTACAACACCTTCCCCTTCCTTTTTCTTCCTTTTTTTTTTTAAGATTTTATTTAATCATTTGAGAGAGAGAGAGAGAGTGCAAGGGAGAGAGAATCTGAAACAGATTCCACACGGAGCACAGAGCCTGACTCGGGGCTGGATCCACAACCCTGAGATCACAGCCTGAGCCAAAACCAAGAGTCAGACGCTCAGCTGACTGAGCCACCCAAGAGCCCCTCTTTCTTTCCTTTTTGTATGCAGTTTATTTGTCTAAGAAATCAGATTATAGATTTTGTAGAATTTTTCACATTCTGGACTTGCCAGTTACATCCTCACAATGTCATTTCACATTTGCTTCATTGCCCACATTTCTTATAAACTGGTAGGTAAATCTAAAGGTTTGCTCTTGTATGGGTAGTGTTTCCTTTTATAATATTTTGTGTCTGCTACTACCTCATTTTCCCTCTTAACACCACCTCTACCGTAAACTGTAGCTCCACTCCTCTCAGATTCCCCAGCACATAGCATATCTTAAGAGACTCCGGCTGTCTTTTTAAAAAATTATTATTCCAGATATCTACCTATGATTTGGTACTAAGAGACCTCCCTCTTCAAATTCTTCAAATTTCACACACACAACACACCCGTACATACATACAGGTGGGCTTATCCTGTCAAATTTGTTCAACAGTAGAGTATCATTGGTTGATACCACAAAACATACCAGTTATTTAATTTCTGAAATTGTATCTAAATAAGAAAATTACACTCATCGATGTTAGGAAAATAATGCTTAGAACAATTGCAGATTTTGCACCTTCTGAGATTTAACTCCTGAACATTTCTCTGATTCACCCCTTTTTTCATCCCCACTGCCTCTGCTATGGTGGTTCATACTGTTTCTAATCTGGGGTACTGTAATTGCCTTCCAACTACTCTCCTCACACCCCAGGGTGCCCCATTCTCTATACTGAGGTGAATGGTTTTAATCTTCCTAAAATGCAATTTCTAAAAGCTGAATGTGTCATTTCTCTGCTTAAAACTCTTCCATGGCAAAACAAAAACAAAAACCAGAAAAACTCTTCCATGGGTCCCCAAAACCCTCCAAATAAAATCCAGACAGAGCCTTGCATACCTCTCTAACTTTATTTCAGATACTCCCACCATCCTGAACTATTACTTACTCTTCTGCTAACTGCTAACATCCTATCTTCAGGATGTGGTGCTGCACTCCTCTGCCTGAAAGGCCTTCTCTAGTTGGCTAATATCCTTCAAGATTTAGCTCACATGACACCTCCACAAAAGGCTTTCTCAGATCTCATTTAGGTATTCCTTGAGCCTACAAATTGGGGTCAGAAAGCTGTGGGGTGAGGGACACCTGGCTGGCTCAGTTGGTAGAGCACACCACTCTTGGTCTTGGGGTCCTCAGTTCAAGTCCCATGTTGGGTGTAGAATTACTTGAAATAAAAATTTTTTTAAATGGACATTAAAAAAAGAAGAAGAAGAAGGCACATTAACTGTGGGATGGGGTGAAGAATGGGTACCAACCTTGTTTTGACCTCAATAAAAAAGTTACCTAAGCAGTATCAAAACCAAGAATAAGCTTTTTCTGTACACTGACATATTTAATTCTCACAACAAATTTGTGCAGTAGGTTCTATTATTATTACCTCCAATTTATAGGTAAGGAAACTATGGTTCAGAGAGTTATGTCCCTTGACCAAGGTGACACAACTAATAAGTGGTGAGCTAGAATGTGACCCCAGTTGTGCATGAATCTAAACCATATTATCCTTCCATCATATTCTACTCCTGGCACCACCAGTCAATAACAGCTTGATGCCATGCACATATTCTGTGTGTGTAAGAGATGCCTGACCATATGTGATATCTGTATATGTGTTGTCATGCATGTGTCTATGGTTGAAAAGGCAGCTTGTGAATGTGCAGGTGGGTGCACTGACCGATCTGGTATCTGTCCGATCAAACGGTCTTTTCAGTGTTGTCACTCAGTAAAAGACCAAGTCGTGTTCAACTCAACTTAACAAATACTTATTGAATTCCTACTATATGGTAGGCTTAAGTAAAATACAGAAGGGGCAAATGGAACTAGTGTTTATAGAATTACTCTATGCCAAGAATTGTATGAAGCCAGTGCTTTACATTCATTATCCCCTTAATCTTACCAACAACCCTGAAAAAAGGATGATGAAGATGATGATGTCATCATTTCTTCCTTCCAACAGAGAGGAAGAAAGTGCAAAAAAATTAAGCAATTTTGTGCAGCATGGAGAGCTAAAATTACAGTTCTGGTTCGATATGAATTTTAAGCGCCTTTTTTTTTTTTCACTGCTTGTTGGTTCCCTTTCTCAAATCCTTCCCCATACTAGGAACTAAAAATCCTATTAGAGGGATGCCTCAGTGGCTCAGTCAATTAATCATCCAACTCCTAATTTTGGCTTGGTCATGATCTCAGGGTCCTGAGATCAAGCCAGCATCAGGCTCCACACTGGATGTGGAGCCTGCTTAAGATTCTCACTCTCTCCCTCTGCCCCTTCCCTCCTAAGAAGAATCCTATTAAAGAGATTAGATCTGCATGCAAAAAAACATTTAATAAAAGGGGCTCCTGGGTGGCTCAGGTGGGGAAACATCTCCCTTTGGCTCAGGTCATGATCTCCACGTCCTAGAATCAAACCCCACA